GAAGGATGGAAGGCTGAGTCAACCCTGAGCCGGTGAGATTTGAACCGCTGACCTGCTGATCTAGCAGGAGCCTGCAGTGCTGCATTTAACCACTGTGCCACCTTGGCTCTGGAAACTACATCTACTTAGCAAACATGTTACTTATTTAACTACTGTGGCAAGACAAGTTGTAAATTGGCACAAAACTCACTTAACAACTGTCTTGCTTAGCCATGGAAAATTTGGGCTTAATTGTGGTTGCAACTCAAATGCCATCTGTTTTTTCTAAAGCTTCCCTAAATTGTCCAATTCCCTAAATTGTCCAATTTACCGACCAAAGAGTCTATATCTGAGATGGGCATGCTAAGCCTTTAACTACTGTATAAACTACACCATTAATAAAAATCAAGCACAATCAATATCGTATCTCAGACTAGAAATCAGTTAAACACACTCAATGTTAGGTGGTGCAAACACAGCGCAATCCCTCAGATTATTACTTTTGACAAAACTCTGGAGTCTCATGTTGGTTCTTTAGTTCATTCTCCTCCATCACTTTCTCCATGCATCTCTACAGATTCTCCTGGGACACTTCTATGGACATGAAGGAAATTTTGAGAATCAATACTAACCAATTAGCGTTGTCTTTTCATACTGTGTGTTTTCTTATGGTGACTAAAGTCATTCCAGGTTCCGGATTTCTTACCACACTCCAAACACTCATACGGCTTCTCCCGTGTGGATTCTTTTATGGAGCTTAAGATTCCAGCAATTTCTGAAACTCTTTCCACAGTCGATACATTTAAACGGCTTCTCTCCTGTGTGGATCCTCATGTGGGAGGTAAGGTGACCACTCTGTCTATAACATTTTCCACACTCCAGGCATTTATAGGGTTTCTCCCCTGAGTGGATCCTCATGTGGGAGGTAAGATTGCCACTCTCTCTATAACACTTTCCACACTCCAGGCATTTATAGGGTTTCTCCCCTGTGTGGATCCTCATGTGGGAGGTAAGCTTGCCACTCTCTCTATAACACTTTCCGCACTCATGACATGTATATGGTTTCTCCCCCGTGTGGATTCTCTTGTGGCTACAAAGGTAACCAATTCTTCTGAAACTCATGCCACACTCCATGCACTTATAGGGTTTCTCCCCTGTGTGAATCCTTTTATGAATCGTCAGTTGTCCAGAATCACTGAAGAGTTTTCCACACTCTTGGCACTGATATGGTTTCTCCCCAGTGTGGGTCCTGCTATGTAGGATATAGCCATTTTTTGTATTGAAACTCTTTGCACATGTGTGACATTCATATGGTTTCTCCCCAGTGTGGAGTCTTTTGTGAACAGAGAGATTCCACTGTCGACTAAAGCATTTGCCACATTCGGTACACTTATAAGGCTTTTCACCTGTGTGGGTCATTTTATGGAGAATAAGGGAACCTGTTTGACTGAAGCGCTTCCCACACTCAGTGCATTGATATGGTTTCTCTCCAGTGTGGATTCTTCTATGGGAAGTTAAGTGGCTGGAATTACAGAAGCTTTTTCCACACTCCATGCATTTGTATGGTTTCTCCCCTGTGTGGGTCTTGCTATGTACAATATAGGTATTTTTTGTATTGAAGCTCTTTCCACACGTATGGCATTCGTATGGTTTCTCCCCAGTGTGGAGCCATTTGTGGCGAAAGAGAGTCCCCAAATCAGTGAAGCATTTGCCACATTCGATGCACTTATAAGGCTTTTCACCTGTGTGGATCCTTTTATGGACAGTAAGATTCTGTTGATTTTTGAAGCGCTTCCCACACTCAGCGCATTGATGTGGTTTCTGTCCACTATGGATTCTCCTATGGGAATTTAAGTTGCTGGAATCACTGAAGCTCTTTCCACACTCCATGCATTTGTATGGTTTCTCCCCTATGTGGGTCCATTCATGGGCAAGCAAGCTATCAGACCGTGCAAAACACTTTCCACACTGCAGGCATTGAAAGGGTTTCTCTCCAGTGTGGGTCCTGGTATGTATGATATAGCTATATTTTCTACTAAAGTTCTTTCCACAAGTGTGGCATTCATATGGTTTCTCCCCAGTGTGGAGCCTTTTGTGATAAGAGAGAGCCCCCAAACCAGTGAAGCATTTGTTGCACTCGGCGCACTTGTAAGGCTTTTCACCTGTGTGGATTCTTTTATGGACAGTAAGAATCTTTTGATTATTGAAGCGTTTCCCACACTCAGTGCATTGATACGGTTTCTCTCCACTGTGGATTCTTCTATGAGAAGTTAAGTGGCTGGAATAATCAAAGCTTTTTCCACATTCCAGGCATTTGTATGGTTTCTCCTCCATGTGGGTCTGTTCGTGGGCATGCAAGCTATCAGAACGGACAAAACACATTCCACACTGCAGGCATTGAAAGGGCTTCTTTCCTGTGTGAATCCTATTATGACAAGTAAGAGCACCGGGGGCTTTGAAGCCTTTCCCACATTCTGTGCATTTATACAGCTTCTCTCTGGTATGGATCCTCTTATGTAAATTGAAGTTGCCTTTTTGTGCAAAGCTCTTTCCGCACACAGTGCAATGATACGGCTTTTCCCGTGTATGGATCCTATTGTGGTAAGTGAGGTTACTTGCAGAGCGGAAGCTCTTCCCACATTCCAGGCATTTACATGATTTCTTCTCAGTGGGATTTTTTTCCCGGCAATTCAGTTCATTGCTCTGAGTAAACCTTATTCTACCCTCCCCGAGTTCATGTAATTTCTCTCCTCTGTGGACGTTTTGGTGGGAAGTAAAGGAAGTGCTGTTTCCGAAGGTCTTTTCCCCAGTAATGCATTGATGCTGCTTCCTCTCTTCGTGGACCATCTTATGTGAATTGAGATGATGTTTCTGCCTGAAGGTCCTTCCACAATCCAGACATTTGTGTAGATCCTCTGCTTTGTGAATCTTTTTATGCAATGCAAGAGAAAGGCTTGTACTGAAGCTTTCTGCACACTCCATACATTTGTACATTTCTCTTCCTTCTTGTATTCTTTCATGTAAAGGAGGCAGAAGGGTACTT